TAGTAATACAAACCCCTTAAGCAATATGCAGGGATGTTTTAAGCCCCTTATTATTTTTTTTTATTCACTACATAATTTGCATGCCATGAATTATACAGTGTCTGAAGCATGTCATTTAGTGAGTTCTGATAAATGTATACTACTTTTCTTCCCAATTTCCACAGCCCCCCAGTCACTCCTCTCTCACTGTAATTTGGCTTGTTATAGGTAAAACTATCCCGGACATGAGGCCCCGTGGGGTGGTGGGTAATGGGTCAGGGATTCAAGTGCACTGGCTACTCTGAGGGAGAAAGATGGGCAATCAGTGGCTTCCCTCCCTTCTTCGTGTTTGGTTTTCTTTTGCTCCAAAGTGTGTTCTAGATTCACCCACATTTTTGCTCATTGTTTCAGCAATTCAGTCCTTTTGATGGTTCAGTAGGGTTCTGGTGAAATCATGGCATCTGGCTGCTAACTGAAATGCTAACCTCAACAACTCCAAGGGGAAAGGCAAGGCAGCCTTCTGGGGCAACGGGCTTGGCTTTCCCCATTCCCATGCAGTAAGGGATCAGCATGTTGATCCACTTACTTTGCTGGGTATCTGAGTGGTTTCAGATTTTGGCTATTGTGAATGAAGCTGCTATGAACCACGTACAACTCTTTTCATGAACATGTTTTCATTCTGAAGCGGGGGATTAACTATTTAGGAGTACAATTGGTAGCTCACTGTTGTTGGCTACCATCGAGTCAGAACTGACCCATACCTGACCCTCTGGAGGGTTTTCAGAGGCAGTTAATCACATGGAAGAGGACTGCCCATCCTTCTCCTGTGGAGTAGCTGATGGATTCGAACCGTGTGCCTTTGGGATTGCACTGCAGCTTCTTAGGACTAGGCTACCAGAGCTCCCTGGTAGGTCACTCGGTAAATACTAGCTGTTGTTAAGTGCCGTCGAGTCGTAGACGACTCATAGAGACCCTATGAAGGAAAGACTTGAACACTTGTATAACTTTCATTGTTTCTCCAAGTTCGTAGGGTTTCAGGAGTACTAGCTAGTTCTAAAAAAATGTATTATTTTCCTCTCCACTAACAGTAGATGAGTTGTTCTGCTTGCTAGTATCACTTGACTTCACAGTCGGTCAGTCTTTATTTTTGTGTGTGGATAGTGGTATCTCAGGATGGTTTCTTTTCTCTTGACAACTTTGTTTTTTTGGTGCCCTGTGTGGAATACTTTGGGCACGTTGTTATTAAGTGCTGTCGAGTCGCCTGTGACTCATAGCAACCCTATGTACAACAGCTCTGAACCCTGCTCTATCCTGAGCCAACCTTATCGTCTGGCACACCTGCCCCCATTACCCCAGACACTGAGTCAATCCATTCCACTGAGGGTCTTCCTCTCTTGTGCTGACTCTCCACCCTCCCAAGCTTGATGTCCCTCTTCAAGGACTGGTCCCTCCTTTCAACATGCCCTAAGTATGTCAGATGAAGCTTCAGACTCCTTGCCTCCAAGGATCAGCCTGGTTTCACCCTCTCTAGGAAGAAACTACTAGTTCTCTTGCAGTCTGATACTCTTCTCCAGCACCCCTGTTCAAAGGCATCAACTCTCTTGTCATCCCTAGTCATTGTCTAGCTTTCTGATGCAAAACATTTAAATGCGAAGACCATGTCCAGATCAGGTGCACCTTAGTCTCCAGACTGATGTCATTGCTCTTTGGTACTCTGGAGATGTCCCTGACAGCAGATTTTCCCAATGCAATTCATCTTTTGATTTCCTGGCTGCTGGTGCCAAGGGTATGGACTGTAGAGCCAAGCAAACTAAAGCTATTAACCATCTCAATCTCTTCACCGTCTATCATGATGCTGCCAATTGGCCCAATGGTGAAAAAGTTGTTAGGAAAGGCTATTCTTTAGAAAAGGATACTGTGCTTTGGAAGGTGGAGGGTTAGTGAAAGAGAGGAAGACCATTGGTAAGATGGATTGACACAATGGCTGGAGCAATAGGATCAAGTATAAAAGAGATCAGGATGGCACAGGAAAAGACAGGGTTCAGATCTGTTGTTATGAATTATTAACAGCAGCACTTAACAACAACAAATGTGGAGCACCAATTCTTAAAATGGGCTGTCTTAAAATAAGGCATAAATCAATATATTCTGGAAACAAATCCCTTCGTCAGATTATATGTAGTACAAATATTATTTCCCAGTCTTCAACTGGCCTGGTCATTGGAAGGTTTTGAGCAGGGAGTGACAGGAAGCAGACTTAGGCTCTGGAAAGATCACTGGCTCAGAGTGAAGAGTAGAGAGAAGCTGGGGAGACAAGGTAGGAGGTTCTGTCATAGTTCAGGTAAGAAATAGCACTGGTTAAGGTAAGGCAGCAGGGGTAAAGGACAAAGTGGAAAGATTCCAGACGCACTCTGAATGTACCGCTCACAGGATTTGCTGATGGATTTGACCTAGAATGAGAGAAACCGGACACCAAGGAAGACTCTGGGTTTGGCTTAAGTTAATGAACCAGGGTGTTGCCATTTTTTTTTAGGGAAGAGGAAAATTATAGGAGAGGCAGTTTGAGAGGAAAATTATGTGTTATTTTAGACATGAATATTAGTCAATCAAGTGAAGACACTGAGCTTAGAGTTGATTATGGACCCATAGTTAGTTCAAGGATATAATGAGGGCCCATCTAAACATTTAACGTGATGACACTATTACGAGAAGTCCTATGGGAGTGTGAAGAGACGCTTAAGGCTATCCTCCAACTTGTGACTCAGAAGGACGAGCAGAGACCAAGCATGTTATTAAGAGGGAGCAAGAGTGATTTCTAGAGTTTGTGCCCACGAGAATGAGGCCTGAGGAGTCATCACCAGACTCGGCAACTCAGTGGGCACTAGTGAGCTTGTCCTGAGCACCTCAAATCGAACACTCCCCCAGACCTTCAGAGGAAGCACCAAGCTGAGAAGTAGTAGCTGCTGAGGCGTCTACCCATGACCACCCCCATAACACCTGAGCCCAAACTAGAGAAACCACATGCCTTTGTCAGCACTAAAATGACTTTATTAGAAGGCCGTTATAAATGACAACTTCCAATTCTTTCTTAATTTGCTCTTTGACAAATTCCAGTTATAACTGTTTTATATATATAACAATTTTTGCATTGAACTTTGCAATCCTAGTTAAGGTTTCCTCATTAGGCCATTCTGGTGGAATGGAATACAATTGTTGAGCTGCGAGCTGACCAGCATTACTGAGGGGACAGCAGAGGGAAGGGAGGGATGAGCCCATGTTACCAATAGAGACTGGAGACTGGTCATCCTCCCTTCAAGTACCCCATCCATTCACCACAAACCCACAGTGAGGAATACCTCGATGCCTTTTTGAGTCAAAAAGGGTGAAACATCAAGATCCTCCCAGGCCAGGAAATGATTAGGATTTCCATCTTCAACATCCTTGGGATTTCTCCCAATCTTCTCATCACCAACAAACAGGCTTTTCAGGCCCTCAGATACAGAACTTTGCTAGGCTCATTCCTTCCAGACACACATAACGGGAAGCTCTCAGGCAGGGTAGGCTCAGGCCTAAATGCCAAAGAACACTTCTCCCCGTCCTTCTTTCCTTTCTTCTCTGCCTGCAGTTTCAAGAGGAATTTCTCAGATTTCTTTGGACAAACATGACACTACTATGGGCAGTAGGCAGGCAAGCATCTGTGGCCCCTCAGTCCTTTCCTCTCCCTACCTCATCCCACCACGTGGTGTCGAGAAAATACAATCAACCAAGAACATAAATATGAATACAAAAAGAACTTGAAAATGACAGACTATTAATTAAACACATCTATAAAAATAGTTAGGGCATAACTCTTCAAATAAATACAAAATAAATAGGCTCCAAGCAGTGAGAGAGGTTGCATCAGTGGAATGTGAGGCTGGTCCCACTTTGCCCGACTCAGGATTGAACATAAATCCCCCGGGGCGTCAGAATTAGACTTTAATGCAGTCAGCCATACTGTCTACTCCCTTTGTCCTCTCTCTGGACGTAAACCTGCACATTTGTCCAGTTTCTCTTTCTGAACAAAACCCTTTTCCCAACCATACATAATTAAGGCTTTAACACCTTTTTCCTTCTCATTGAGGGATGAAGACATGGAATGTCATGCCTTTTCCCTAAAATCTGTCCCCCATTAACCTCATGCCACAGAACAGGGACAGAGTTTGGTTCTGAGCTGGTGCCAGTCCTTACAGAGGTTGAGGCCAGCTCAGAGCACCATAAGACCCCAAGCAGGGTGCAGAGCCTCTGGGTTCCAGCCCTGGCACCAGCCTTCCATGAAGCCATGCACCATGATGGCAGGCAGCAATGAGGCAGGACTTGGCCTGGCCACCTCTCCCCATGCACAGAACGCCCGGGGCCGTGTGAGCTCAGTTGAGGGCAAGCACAAATGCTAGACAGCCCCCTTCCCTGTGTGATCAGGTCAATGACGACACTGCAGGATAGGGAAGTCAAGTAGGTGCAGTCAAGTCAAGTGAAATCCCCTTTCACTACAGTGTTGTGGGAGGGGGCTAAAGAGAGGTGAGAGGAGGCAGGGAGCCCTCCTCTTACCACATTAAAACAGCAGAGAGGAAGGAAGCTACACAGACCTGGAGAACACGCTCATGGGCCAGAGGGCAAAGGGCCTGCATTGATGGCTGCTAGGGTGATGTGGAAGAACTAAGCCAGTCTCCAAGCTCTGCTGTTTGGCAGGCACTGAAGGAAAGATCCCTGTCCCGGTGTGCCAGAGCCTGGATCCTGCTGACCCTTGGACCCTAAGGAATGCCCACGGGTCTCCCCTGGAATCCATACGAGGATTGGCTAGGATCAGCAGGGCAAACCCGGTGGGCATGCTGGCCCCGGTCCCCTGTGGGTACATCCTAAGGTTTCACAGCTTGGCTTCTGTCAGCTTAGTGTTGGCACATTCACAGAATGAGATGGCTACATGTCCCAGGGCTGCAGGCCCAGGATCAGCGAGTCCACTGAGAGGGCCGCCTTCCATCCCGTCATCGTGACTGCACGCCCAGGGTGATCTTCAGATTCTCATACACCACGTAGCTGATGCTCACAGCGGGGATCACCTTCATGAAGTTGGGGGCCAGCCCTCGGTAGAGGCCAAAGGCCCCCTCGGTCCGCAGAATCTGTTTGAAGAGGCTGCTCATGGTTACCTCCGGCGCACCCTCAATGGAAGCTGCAACGAGAGGCCACCCTTCTGTTCATCAAGTGCCTCTCCTCAGCACCTCCCTGGTGTGATGGGCCCGGGGAGAGGCCGAGGACCAGCCTTACCTTGCGCCTGCATCCGAGTCCTGACAAGAGCTAGAGGGTAACTGGCCAGTTGTCCACAGGTGCTGGACATGGTACCACAGGCCAGCAGCACGAACACGCCGGGGTCTGCGCTGTTTACTGCATAGCGCTGCAGCCAGGCATTCTTGAGTGTCTGGAAGAAGGAAGGAGGGATAAGCTATGGTGCCAGGAAGACCCACAGGGAGAGCATAAAATAGTGGGTGCCTGGAGTAGGGTACTGGATCCACAGAGGTAGCTGTTTCCTGGCCACATGGGCTCTAAAGTGAGCTCACTCATTTGGCTTGCCTGGTCTTTGTTTTTGTTATCAGTAGGGACTCCTGAAAAGGCCAGGGACTGGCACGAGGTAAAGGAAGCACCTTCTTTCTCCAGGCATAAAGTCTGACTTATGGGTCTAGAGTTGGCTCAGGGAACCTCGTCAGCCACTGTGTTCTGGACATCTGTCACTGTCACTGGGTCCTGGAGGTGAAGAACCCAGAGCAGAGCTCAAAGAGCTAGGATAGGGGCTACAGAAGAAGGCAGCATGCCAGGAGCCTGTCTGCCAGAACTCTGCAGTTTGCAAGTGACCTACTTTTTGGTAGGTGACTTGTTCTAAACACAGGGGGAGCAAGACTGTTGGGAGATACAAAGTTGGGTCATGGGCAGGGAAGGGTTCTGAAGTTCTTCGGCTTGTTCAAGGTTCTTGAGCCCTCGAGGGCCTCACCTCGTAGACAGCTAGGTCTATTCCAGCATAGGGGATGATCCCCAGCATGTTGGGGATGTAGCCTTTGTAGAAGGCGGCCATACCCTCCTTGGCCAAGATCTTCCTGGCACAGTCCAGCATGCCCGAGTACTGGCCTGTCTTCCTCAGGGCCATTCTGGTCTTTAGAACCTGCCGGGCCAGATGGGAGGACATGAAGCATGAACACAGCCAGCTCGTCACCCCCTTTTCTGCTCCCACAGCCACTGTATACTCCTGTACACAGAGACACCTTACCTCCATGGGGTAGATGCTGCTCTGGGCGATGGCACCTGCCAAGGACCCGGCCACCAGCCTTTCGTGGATCCTCAGAGTCTCCTGGTCACTCCCAACTAGACGCTTGATCTAGAACAGAGAGCAAACAAAACCAATGCATCCGGGGACTATAACACCTACCTCCTACCCACAAGGCAGGCAAGTGGAAAGCTAGAAGGACCTGAGCTGTGACCTGGTGGTGGGAAGGGATCAGAACTAGGCACCTCATTTCCCTCATCCCTGGGCGACGATGACTAGATGGGTTTCAGAGAATCAGCAGCGTGGGGACTTCACCCACGGGATGCTCAGTAAACAGCAGTCAATGGGGATCTTTGTGAGGGGCCGAGTCCTCACCTGTTCATACGCCATGAACTTGATGGCTGACTCGGGGGCGATTTTGAGGACGTTGATGCCGTTGCCCCGCCAGAGTGACTTAGCCCCTCCCTCTCGAATCATCTGGGTGAATCCACCAATGATGCACATGTTGTTGCTGCGTGAGGCATGGACCTGGGAAGGGAGGGAAGGCAGGGTCAGAATAACTTGGGGCCCACAGCTTCTGTCATCAGCTCCTCTCACAGACCCAGAGATCATGGGCAGCAGGAAGATGTTATACACTTGGTGTTCTTAAGACCAAGTCAGACTGTGGGACTCAAATATAAACCAACTGGGGTTCAAGTAGCTTTTACCACAGTGCCACAATGCCAGTACTGTACCAAACATCTCCATAAGGATGGTTTTAAAATATTTTTTAAAAGAGCTTTTCATTATGGGAAAGTTTACACAAAGGCTAAGGGAATTCTACAATGAGCCTCCACCATACCACAGCCACTCTAAATCCCCTGCTGAATACTGGAAAACAAGTCTCAGGCATCGAAGCATTTTGTCCAAGGATTGCATTTAATCCCTACAACATCCCCAGGAATTTGATTTAAAAAATAAGCTGATATGGCAATATTTTCTAAATTCCCTCATTTCGGAGAGGAATCGAAGTCTTGGAGGTGAAGCAACTTGTCCAAGGTCACACAGATGGAGATTGGGGGAACGGGGTAGGAACTGGGGTGGCCTTCCTTGCTTCAGTACAATGTGTGTTCGTGGTCACATCCAGCCATATATCAATAGGCTTTTTAGATTAAATGAGGCCATGGAGGGTAAAGGAGGACAGAAGGAAACGCCTTTCTCAAGAGAGCTCTTGGCACACGAAGTGCTAGGACACAGGGATGGGGTGGGGATGACTGGCCACTACTCAGACAGAGGCCAAAGTACAGCAGAGCTTCTTCATGTAGGCCAATTTCACAATTCTGCCCTGACGTCAGCCTGGCTTATCGATGCCCTGTGGACGTGGAGCCGAATGCCCAGCCAAGGTAAGAGGGACATTTCCAACCGGCAGCTGGGTTAGGTGAGGACGCGCTCACACTCCCCACCTGGCCCTGACTGTGGAGGCTTGTAAGATATGCTTAAGGAAAGAGGTTCCAGCCACACCTCCATTATTATTGGATTCACCTGTCCTAGGCTGTAACCTGACACCTGGCCCAAGTTAGATGGGCATGTGCAAAAGGTCACCTAGGCCTGGATCTAACATTACTCATGTCCCTGCAAGAATTCTGGTCTCATTCACTGGGTTAGGAAAGCACTGGGTCCAAAGGAGCAGTGCAGCTGAGGGAGGGGGTGGTCTGAGACTCAGCCCCCTGCTTACCTGCATGAGCACCTTGAGTCTGTCCAATGGGGCCGTGCAGGTTCTGGATACGGCCCCTGCCCCGCCTCCTGCCACGAGGTGTCTCCACCACATGCCTGTCTGTCTTTCCTCCACTGTGAACTCATCGGGGACGGTCAGGTTCTCCCCCACATCAAAGATCTGTAAGGAAGACCAACAAAGGTAAAGCACCTAACTCAGGAACAGACCCCAGATACTCTGAGGAAGGTATAGTGGGGTGGCTTGATCTGGATCCTTCTATCTTCTAGAATGGTCTGTGTGTTCCAAGGGATCAGACATGGTTAGCATGGCAAGGCTTCCGGGCAGGAAGCTGACTTAGGCCCCTCCCTTCACTCCGTAAAGGTGGGCTAACCTTTCATCCCTGTTTGTGGCCTTTAAGAAGCCTGGGTGTAGAATCTGAAGAGAGCAGAAAGCTCTATCTGTTGTTACAAAACTACCTGACACCCCTTTCAAATATCGCCAAGGATATTTGAAGGGATATTTGCAGAAACAGCTTACAGAAGCATTTCGGCTGGCAATCAGCAGGCTGCGTTGGAAGGATCAAGTCCAGGGAAAAAGTCCTCTGAAATCTGATGTGTAACCAGATCATACTGGCAGAACACCGTGTAAGTCCAGGCAAATATGTTAGGGCTACAGTGCCTGCGTAATACTTGCTCTTTTGGATAGCCTCCCAGCAAGGCCACCCGCCTGCTCTGACCTAAGGCTGCTGCCCAGAAACATGACCCTTGCAGAAGCTGCTTCATTTAACCCAACAAAGATGCCAAAGGTCCCCTGGGTGAGGCTCTGGGTCAGGAATGGCAGAGACAGGGGAGGATGAACCTTCTGGTCTCTGAGAGCTGGCAGCCCAGGGAGGATGAGCCAGACACACGGCTGACTGCTGAGGTGGCGTGTGAGAATGTATGTGCATGTATACATATGCATGTGAATGCACATATATGTGTACACGTGTGTGTGTGTGTGTGTGTGTGGTCAGCAAGGACCACATGTGGACCGACCAGGACAAAGAAAGGGACTTAAAGGCAGGGAGGTCAACACAGAATAAGTTATCTGATTTGGGGTGAAAGTGCAGCATGGCACCATCGTGGGGACAGATAGATAAATGACACCAAAAACCAGGTGGTGGAGGGAGAAACCTAATGGCTTTACAGATCTGTCATTAAAGAGTAGTTTCTTTTGGCTCAACTCCTGCTAACAGCTCTGAGAACAAGAAGTACAGGTGGGATGCGGGTGAGAGGAGAAGGGTGTCTGAACTGGACCTTGGAAAAAAGGGAGGGAAATGGACCTTGAAGGAAAGAGAGCTTGCGGGTGGGTTAACATTTTGCCAGTTCTGCATGGTCAGCATTAGGGGAAAGGGCAGGGGCAATGGAAGGCTCCTCAGGGCAGGTATAGGGGACTGAGGCCAGCTGACGGTATGATGGGGGAATCATGATGGGGCTTCATGAGTGAGGCCTCACCGTAGAATGCTTCCAGTACAAGATGATCTCGGGGATATTCTCCACCGGGTGCAAAAGGTGGTAGTCTCGCCACTCGTTCCAGTCGATTGTCATCGTGCCATTTTTATCCATGCTGCAAGACAAATACACAGTCACTCATGCAGACACACCAGGTGTCCTTGGTCAATATCCCCACCTGTAAGCTGCACTTCCTACCTCTAGGAAAACTGAGGAGACAATGCCTCTCCCGTCCCTAATGAGGGAAGGCAAGGGGGCTCCACACCCTACTTTGCATAAAACTGGTAATACTGGACCCCCGTTCTAGTTAGGAGGGAGGCAATCACCAGGGTGACACAAATACTTACTAAGTGACAGGGCCCCAGAAATGGCCCGTTCGTATTCTGACAGACAGACAAAGGAGGATGCAGAGGAGAGAGGAAAAACAATACAAATAAGTGCTCAGAGCAGATGTTAGTGAAGCAAGCACACACCCAAAGACACCAGGCACAGCACAAGGACATTGTCCCTCCACAGAGATCTGACCCCTTGAAGGTGGACACGAGGCTGCTGGCCCTGAGGACCAGTGAGATCCAGGACTATTCTTTATGATTCTCAGACACAGCAGCAATTACTGCCCTGAAGGGCCCAGCTCACCAGAGAGCAACTTCAGGGAAATGTGCTGGCTGGATTATGGCATTAAAATAAAGCTACCAGCTTTACAGGAGAAATCCACCTTAAATCAAGTGCTGTGAGGTGAGTCCCTTTCACCTACTTGAAATCTTCCCAACTAGTTACTCCTCTTCATGGGTCACTTTGGAACAGGCACAAAACCCAGTGATTTGTGAATCTTCAAAGGAGAGCTGAGCTCCAGGTCTGAAAAGGGGTTACTTATTCATCCTCGCAAGCCACGAGAAGCCAAAGTTCAGAGAAACACTGATACTATGAGTACACCAAGAGTTAGTCCAGGAAGCTTTCTTTTGTTAAATCAGAACAGAGGCTGACTAAATAAACACTTACCTCTTGAGAATTTTTTCAGCCTGTTGCTCAGATATCTTGACGCCCAGGTCCCGCAGAGACTGCATGATCTCCTGAGCGTCAATACGTCCTGTAACAAGTGGAGAGAGTGAAGAAGTGGTTTCCCCAGGAATCCTGTGACCCTGCATGCTGGAAGCTCCAGAAGGCAACACTCACCATCATTCTTTTTGTCCAAACTTTTAAACACCAGCCTCAGCTTCTTCTCATGGTCTTGGAGATAATGGACAAACTCTTCAAAGTCCAGCTGCCCATCGAGGTCCTTATCTCCAGCTTGTACAATTTTCTAGAAAACACAAGGTTCTGTCCTTTAGCTCACACAGCGGCTCTTCCTTGTCCCTCATAGGGTTCCACCCAAGGAAATGACAGTGCTAATCCATGAACAGAGGTGGCCCTGACAACATAAGTTGTTACGGCTCCCCAGAGCAACCACGGTTTTCATCGACATTCCAGAGCTTTCATTCATGTCTCCAAGTCTTGGACAGAACCCAGGCAAGAGCTCACCTGGCTTCCCTTACCAGCAAAAAGAAAGAGGGAGCCCTTGGGAAGAGCCCTTGGATAAAGGCCAACACTGGAGGGCTTGGCACCTTCTGAGCACAAGTGTCCTCAAGACTAGCTTGGGGCTCAGCCAGGATCAGCTGCTTGGTCCCTCCACAGGGCTGTCCCTGCTTGCCAGGCCTCAACCTCCCATGCCCCAGCCCAAACATGGGAGGGTCTTGCAACTCCAGATCCTATCAGAAACTCTGCAGCTTGCTCTTTTTATCCCTAAAATAGCAATGGCTCACGAAAAAATAAAAACCAAAAGCTAGTGTCTAGGGTGAAGGCAAAAGACTGAGCTGGCCCCTACAAATGCCTGCCTGGCAGAAATACTACCAAGAACTCTGGAGGCTGGAGAACACCTGCTACCAGGATGGCACTGCCAGTCCTGAATCTCAGGGAAGCAGGTGACAGAAGCAACTACCAGCATCCCCAAACCAGCATCTAAAACCAAGTGTAGTAGCTCTATTTAATAATAATAATTCTGTGTTCTTTAAGAGGGCTTATATTTTTGTCTTCTTAGGAAGTGAGTTTTGCTCAGCAGCTATAATCAGTCTGGATGCTTAGCGACTGGGATTTCTCTGCACAGGAGTCTATACTCTCCAAGCACTTATCAGGTACTGCAGGCCATGCTAAGTGCTTTCCTTTTAAGAAGTCAGTAAACCTTCTCAAACAGTTCTGGGCAATACTACCATTCTGCCATTTAACATAGCACAGATGCAGAGAAGAGGTTAAGTCATTTAGTCAAAGTTACACAGCTAGTGAAGTGGTGGGTGGGACTGGGCTGGTCAGAACCCAAAGTTGCCTCTCTAGACATAATGCTGCCATCCTGAAGTTTAGTCACAAGAACACAAGGGTAAGGGCGGAGGGTCACAAGTGTGTTAATCCAACCTAGCAACATCCTGGATCTTGTCAATCCTAGAACTGAGACACTCCACAACTTGAAAATGGGTGTAGTCTTCCAGTGTCCTTGATACTCTCACAGGAATACATTCATTATCCACAAATCAACATGCACTTTAATGTCTTCAAAGCCATCCGGGGCCATGTGTATTGATAGGTCACTGGCTAGCTCACACTCTCAAAAGATTACAACCATGATCCCTGGGTCAGGCAACATTCTTTGTGACTGCTCAGTCACCAGATGTGCTGAGAGGAGTGAGGCTGGGACAGATGATACCCTGTGACCTATCATGACCAAAAAGCCCACTGCATGGGATGTGGCTGGAAGGATGGAGAGATGCTGGTAGAGTATCTGCTATCTGGAATGACATTAACATCCAGCAGACACTTGCAGCCAAAAGTGATAGAAATGGTCACTCCAGATTTATGGCAGGGCGGAAATAGAATCCACATTCCGCTTGGATAAGAGGTGAGGCTGTGTGAAGCTCTTGGTCTTTGGGCTGCTCTGCCCCCGACTCACCCTATGAGCCTTACTGCAGGGGTGTGCTAAGGTTACAGACCACCCAGCGATATTCGGTAGAGCTCTTTCCAGAATGTTCGTCCCTCAAAAAGTCCTACTTTCTGTCTCCTGAGTGTCCAACCTCTCCTGCCACCTTGAACACCATGCAATTTGATCAGCAAAGAGGAGCAGATAACTCCCACAGAGGCAGGCATCTAGATGGCTCCATCTCCCCATCTTTAAAATAATAAAGACGGCTGCTGCTTCCCTGCTGTAAAGGGATGTACATCCAAGAGCCACATGTCTAGAACATGTGAAGGCTCCTCTCCCCCTTACACATCATGGTTACACCCTGGGCACAGTACTGTCAGTTCCAGCCCTCCCAGAGACATGAGCATCTTTACTCTGTGGTCCTGAGCTCCTGGGTCTCCAAAGAGGTGCTGCTCTGTCCTCACAAGCTCTCCTGGCCCCTGGCCCCAAGTTCAGAGCAGTGGCCTGGCAGCAACTGGACTGCCCCTTGCCCCAGGCCCCTTCCCGATCTGTGCATTTCTTAGGAAGTCTCTACCTCACCCCAGGGATTCCTTTGGGAGATTCCATCTTGCACAAGTGCATCCCTCTCTTATAATTCCAGCTTTCCTTGCTGTCGTGTGAAAGCCAGTCATTTCTGTGACTCACAGCGTCTGCTGGCTGTAGCCATGGGACAGCCATAGTGAGGGTGGAAATCAATCCTCCCACATTTTAGACATTCCTTTCTCTCGGCAGGACTCTTTCACACATGCATACCCTCTAACAGCATTCATCCATTCATTCCGCAAACATCGATTAGGCAGCCGGTGGGTGCCCTTGCGTTCCTGACACAGCGCCCAGTACAGACCTGCTTCCACTGGCGATAAGTGGAAAACTCCTGCGAGGGGATAAAAACACTGAGTTTGAAGATGGACTTCAGCTCGGCAGGCAGCCCCTTGGATTCAAAGTACTGGAACTCAGTCTGGGCCTCCCCGATGAGCGGCACATACAGACACAGGCACAGCATGCTGATGGGGAAGCTGGGCGCTTGGCCGCCACCGGGGAGCAGGATGTAGCAGAGTGAAGGATCTGGAGGGAAATGCCGCCGGTGCAGGGAAACTAGGACAAGATTATGTGGCAGCTTGGTTGTCATTGGCTGCCCAGGCCCTGCCCTTTTACTTAATTGAAAAGAAAATCCGCCCACTGTACTCCTTGCCAACCACCAATGAGCACAGAGCCGGGACGAGAATGGCGGCAGACTGCTCAAGCAGTGTGCAAAGGCCAGGGCTGACGTCACCCGCTCCTGCAGTTAACTCTTCAAAGGCCTGGATACTGTGGCCCAACAACCTTCACCATCTCGCTACCAGGCCAACTGCTCCAAATTAACCAACATATTTTTCACACAAGGTCCCCAAACACGTCACATAATAGAATTGTTTTCTTTCCCTAGTAAATCATTTGCAAGAAAGAAAATATGTGGCTGCTGAGAAAATCAATAGCCCCTGAGGATAGGCCCAGTTTAGCTGTGAGGACGTAAGTCAGTGGGGGCACCTGAGAGTCTGGACCACAGGCTCCTGGAAAGTGGGGGCCTCTGTGGGAGGCATCATCTAGCAGGGTGAGGTTCCAGAGCTGGCTGAGCCCAGGGCTCATCACTGTAGCTGCCGGGCCTTCCAGGCAGAAGTCCCCAGCCTCTCGCGGATCACGTGGATCATCTTCCCAGATGATCTTTTCCAGATCCCTGGCCATCTTTCCAGCCCTCTCTGCAGTCTGAGTACCTCACAGCCAATCTATTCCATGGAAGGACTCACTGAAGGAGTCAGAATCACTATGACAGGAGCACAGGAGGATACAGTGTAGAGTCTAAAGGTCTCTGTACCAAGAGAGTCCTCAGAAACACCAACCTGGGGTCAAGTAGGGCTTCACACAAAACACTCAAATCAAATCGTGAGTTGCTTCTGATTCATGGTGACCTTATGTGAGACTTGTACAAGACACACATCTTTAGTCTTTAAAGTCCACTTTCACTCAGGATGTCTGAACATTTTGTGTACTCTGGTGGCCTAGCGCTAAGAAGCTGTGCTACAATCACAAAAGCATATGGTTGGAATCCACTAAATGCTCCATGGGAGAAGGATGGGCAATCTCTTCTCATGCGATTTACTGCCTCTGAAAACTGGAGGGTCTGCCATGGATCAGTTCTGATTCCATGGTAAAACAACAACATGGCTTTTTGATTTAGAACTATGTTATCAAATACAAATTTAAATTTAAATTAGTGAAAACAAAATGAAAATTCAGATCCAAGGTCACACTTAGCCACATTTCAGGTGTTCAATGGTCACATGTGGTGAACTGAAAGTTCTACAGGACAGGATTGCTTTGGAACATCCTTTTACAGAGAGGAGAGCAAACCTCAGGTCCTCTTCTCTCACATGAACGGAAATTCAAGATCCTGTCATTATTGAAGACGATGCTCTCCAGCCCAGCCTGCATTCCCCACCTCATTCCTTCCCAGGAGAGCGTCACTGAACTGGCTGAGGAGGAAGAGATCGCGTCATGGAGATGAAAAAGGAATCAGCCTCGCTTTTGCTCGTCTACAGAACACCACTTCCAAATACAGACTTAAGTTTTCTCATTCCTAGGATGGAGAAAGCGTATGGTTGGTTATAATATTGGGATCAACAAATTTAAAAGTAATCTCTTGATTTCCTCAAAAGCTTTTTTGTTCAGAACCCAAGGGAGATTTTAGAATAAGATGCTGACATTGGTATATACAATATTAGGAAACAGGTTATAGTAAATTATATGACATCTGGGCTTTTCTAAGAGATTTGATGACTCAATGAAACAGATCTTGGACTGTACTATTGGCTTGATCTAATGAGTTGTCCAGCAACCTCAACTTAAATCCATGACACTCAGCAATCTCTTAAACTGCCCAATTCAGAATGTTCTGATTTGAGCTATTTTCATACATATGTATTGCTACTGGTGAGGTCCATGAAAGAAGAGGAAGTTTCTTGAAGGAAGAGAGATACTGTCTCAAACCTTTTTACCTCCCTGTCTGGAACTAAGATCTCAAGAACAAACATATGACGACTCTTCACAAAGACCTCAAATTTCTGTCATTTAATTCAACCATTAATTATTTTTTCATTTAAAAGGGGGTTCACTCACATTTAAAATGCTGGTCTTCCTCTGCTAACGTATTCATGTTTGTTTCTGAATGAAAATGTTGCACAGATTGGTAGAGGTATCTAGTTTTTAGTGATGAAGGTAATTATATCAACATAAAATGGCAAACATCTTGACTGAACAAGTCAGTTACTGGATTAGAGATGTTAATTTTCCAAATATTTTGGTAACTGTAACTATACCATTTGGTATTAATTATGCAGTTACAAAACAAATCTGAGAAAAGAATTGAAAATTATGACCAAGGGGAAAAGGAAACCTATACTTTGTCTTGTAAGGAAAATTTATTCAAGCATCAAAAGACAACTGTCTTTTTTAAAAAAATATAATAATATGTAAATGCAAGCATTTGCATTCAGAGGCCAAAACCGGACTAGACTATAGATTAATTAATAAACACATGGCTTACTGAGCATCTTATCCTATTTAATATTAAAAATTTAAGTTATGCGAATAAGGGAAACTTTTCTTGTTAATAAAAACTTGCTCTTAACTATGGGGGGGAAAACACCCCAAAATGATAACTGTCTTTTCTAGAAGTAGACAGGAACCTCTTGTATTAGAACAAAACTCATTACTCAGACCAGTGGCATTATTATTGTTGTTATTGTATACCACTGAGTTGTAACCAATCTAGAGCTGACCTTCAGCAGGTTTTCACAGAGAGTAAATCACATGGGAGGAAATTACGCATTATTTTTTTTTTGGGCAGAGCAGCTGGTGGATTCAAACCGTATACCTTTGGGTTGGCAGCATAATTCCTTACCACTAAGTCACAAGAAGAATCAAAGCCTTTGAGCTGTGGTGTTGGAGAAGAATACTGAATATCCCATGGACTCCCAAAAGACCAAACAGATAGGTCTTGGAGAAGGTGCAGCTTTAGAACTCGTTGGTGGCAAAGATGGCAAAGTTTCGTCTCACATACTTTGGACATATATGCGAGGCTACTGCTTGAAGAGGAATATTCCCATGCTTGGGAAAGTAAGGTTGGCAAAAGAGAGGAAGACCCTTAACCGGATGGACTGACATTGCTGCAACGGGCTCAAGTGAGTGACATTGTAAGGATAGCACACGGCAGGACAGGGTTCAGATCTTATTCATGGGGTCACTGTAAGTCATACTCAATCTGATGGCATCTAACAAGAATAAGCCCCTATAAGTTCCCTACGGTATCACAGGGTCAGGAAAAGCTCTCTGGAAGGTTCAGCACATACCTGTCAAGCCATTATTTCACAATGATACATTCATTAATTTTAACATTCAAACTCAACTCCTTGCTGATGACTTGGGACCATCTCATATCTGGCTCTTCATGGAGTTTCCAAAGCTGTAAATCACATGGGAGAAGCTTGCCCATCTTTCTCTCCTTGAGCTGGTGGTTGTTGTTGTGTACCATAGAGTCAGAAATGATCCATAGCTGACCCTCCAGTGGGTTTTCAGAGGCAGTTAATCGCACAAGACTGTCTATCCTTCTCCTGTGGAATAGCTGCTGGATTTGAACCACGTGCCTTCAAGACTGCAGTGCAGCTTCTTGCCACCAGACCACCAGTGCTCCCTCCTTCAGCTGGTAGTGGATTCAAATCACCAAAAAGGAGTGGCCTTTGAGTTAGCAGCACAACTGTCGACACTACCAAAACTCCTATTTTAAAGAAAGGATTCTAGGGGAGCTCTGGTGGCCCAGTGGCAAGGAGTTAGACTGCTAACCCAAAGGCATATGGTTCAAATTCACCAGATGATCTGAAGAAGAAAGCTGGATAATCTCCTCCCATGTTATTTACAGCTTCAAAAAACCCGCTGGAGGGTCAGCTATGAGTTGGTTCCAACTTGACAACAACAAAAGAACTGAAAACAAAAAATTTTCTAATTTATTTTGCTACTGCAATTGAGTATCACAGAATGTCTTCAGAGGACAAATGTAAACCTAATATTTGCTCATTTATTGACACTAATCATCACTCTGGGCTCTATAAGAAATTCAGAACTCTATTTTCACACAGAAACTGGGAATTTTTCCAAAGTGAGCCAATCTCTAGGTGGCTTGTATCCAAGGCAAATTCTCTGTATCTCTGGAATTGACACTATGGGGCCCAGAGGGGCTTTGAATATCATCATTTTAAATCTGAGATAAACAAACAAGCTTTGGAGGGATGACCTTGATTTGTCCAGAGTAGGGCTTCTGTTACAACATCCATTTACATCAGTACCAAGGACCAACACTCCCCCAAAGAGACTTTAGAGCTTAGCTCCCAAAGAATGCTTGGATGCCAGCTACTGGGAATTACACCAAGCAGTCAATACCTCATATTGCAAGGTGACTTGTATGTATGTAGGAAAGGAGCAACCTGAGCAAACTTTTTAGCTTGAGCTAAAAAAACAGCAATATTTCTGTTACAGCTTCTGAAGCTGTAGATTAGAAATACAGTAAGGAAGATGATGAGAGCAGGGCTCCTGTTCCATGCCTGAAGTTTCACACCAGCTCTCCAAGATCTGGACAGAATACACTGACTCTCTCCCTCTTGCCTTTATTCCAATTTGTGACCCAGATCTACTTTTGTTTCCTTTCCTCTGATGTCTCTCCCTCTAACAGCTAGTATTCGGAAATGACAGCAATTCTAGGTTCCTTAGAATGGAGGGGTATTGGGTTTCGTTTAATCTCTAAGATGTCAGCTTCTCTTACAAGCATCTTTTCACCCACAGATCTACTAGTTAATACAACAGTAAGTGTTCCTTGTTCTACCACTGTTACATGCCAAAACCAGGTGTTTCCTGTAAATGCCAGAATCGTATGAGTAAGAAGAGGGCAGGTATCGTGTCTCTGGGAGGGTAGCATTAGGTAATAAAGCATTCTCCCCCTCCTCTGCAATGACTCAGGCCCAGCCTGCAGCATTAATATGTGAAGGAACCTTGCCAGCATCCGGCAGCTCAAGCCCCACCCACCTGTCAGGCTCACAAACCTCATTTGCTGTTGTGGCCACAGTGCCATTTGATGATCAGGTTGTCATGACAGCCCAGTGGAGCCGGTTTCCATTGAAACCTGCCTACACTTGGCAATTAGACACTGAGCAAAATTCTCTGTGCTTCTCAGAAGACAGCCCCTCAGGATTTGAAGGCTTGAGGGCACCTCCTACTCCAGAGAAATGGCTTTCTTCTGCAACTGCAGATTAACTGTAAAACAAAGATAAAGGGAAGGACTGGAACAGTTCCTAGAATAAAGCTCACAGGAACTGGACTCACTAGCAGTCATATTTAAGCAGGCGAAGTGAGATCAAAACAAAGTAGTGTTTGTGGGAAACTGAGAAGCCTGAGAACCAGAGTGAGCTTCTTGGTGAGGCGCCTGGGGTATTCTGGACCCCTCTTCCTGAGAGAAACAGCCAGGTGGCGCCAAGTCAGACCAGCCATGATCACATATTACAAACGTCCTCAGAGATCTTGCACTGGACAAGGATGCCTGCTGCACACACATTCCTAAACCACTACTTTGGTTTATTGGCTTTGAAAGAGCTCAGGCTGCCCCTAATAAGCCTTCTTTCTTGCTTCAAACCAATCTTCCCTGCTTGAGTAGCTAAAACCTAAATTAAAATTAGCAGAGGTTCCCTAAGTCCCAGACCTCTGATTCATTTCTCTCTTGGGGAGCTGAAGCAGAAATGGTGGGTCTTGGGTTCAGATCCTCTCCCCTCTCTGTGGGCTCTGGATCCTGCAGTCCAGAAAATCAGCTGTTGAGAACAGCAAGTCCTAATGCAAGGCAGCCCCTGGGAACCTAAGCTGGCAAGAGGTGCAAGGAAGAGCCTGGGAAATGGCACAGTTAATTATTAAAAGTAAAAAGTAGGTGATTTTAAAAAGGAGCCTGTTAGTTGAGGTCACAAGGCAAGCAGATCAAAAGATAAAGGGTACACCACCATTTCCTGCCTTTTTTTTTTAAAAAAATACCGTCAAAAGGTTGACACTCTCTAGTAAGTAGCACACTAAGATGCACCCCATGGTTCTCATGTGGATGCTAATAAGACCTTTGCCAACCAGAAGGAGACACTACAGACTAAATGCCCACAAAAGTTTTTGTACCAAAAGTGTCTCCCTATTGGGGATAGGAACCCGACAATTTCTTTTCTAAATATAGCTACTCAAGTCTATAAACATTTCTACGTATCCACTATGTGTCAGAAACAGGTAGAATCTTTTTCTCCCCAGTTGATCTGCATCCTGAGATAGAAGCAGGAGGTGAATAAGGTCAGAGAGTGTGCAGCCAAACAGCTGTCTCACTTCTGACTCCCAGCACTTATCACACAAAAAACTGCTTTCTTAAGAGAAAACAAGGCAGTACCAGGTGGATCTGGAGTCAAATCTCAGTTCTGTTCCTTAATTGCTTTACTCTGGGCAATTTAGTTAACTTTTCCAAGCCTCAGTTTCCTCATCTGTGAAATGGGAGTATAACCACTTACCTTGGTTCTTGTGAACACTGGATGAGAAAACAGAGCCCAAGGATGAACAGAGGCCCTGGTCCTCAGCACAGTGGTGACTGCAGTGGCTGTGGTCACTCTCCTCTGACCCAGCTCCCCTCCCTTTTTCATTCGCCTGGAACTGAAAAATAAGGCTGGTCCTCTGCAGGCCCTGACAAGGGGAGGCTGACCTTCTGGACTCCCATACAGAGGCTTTCCTCCACTGGCTTCACTCTGAGCCAGACACTCTGTTGTCACCCGCACTTTAAAGTTTGTCCCTTAACGTGGTTTCCTGAGGTCAGACTGATAAAATCCTCTATTGGATTCAACTCTCCATTCCTCACTGACCATTCTAGGTTGGTCATAACAGGATAGGTAAGTTTTACAGTGTCCACAGAGAGATGTGGAATTCTCTCCTACGTCCAATGCCAATATAATTTGTTGTAAAGTCTTCCTTTCCTCCCCACACCCTGATTTTTACAGGAAAATGATCCCAGACCAGTTCCTAAACTAGGAGGTTCTCTGGAAGATGTCATTACCTTAGGAAACTGCTCCGCAGGTCCGACCACTAGCAAAATGGTGGGTCTCTTGTCTGTGGCTTCAGCCCTTCCGTTTTGTTTTCCCAAAAAGCTTGACACCTGGTCTCCTTGAGCAGGAGCTTGGGTGCCTCTGACTTCGTTATCTGTCCCCTCTCTGGAGCCCTGGCACCCAGCCCTAGGGAGAAAGCTAGACAGAAAATGCCACAGCATCTGCAACATCACAGCTCCCTCCAACCGCCGCCGGTGGTGACTGTTCACTTGGGAGGAGGGATGTGACCACAATACCAAGGGTCTCCAGCTTTTTGGAAGCTAGCCTGGGGTGTCCTAAGGCTGGAAACTGCATACAATGGCTGTTCCTGCGCTTTCAAATCTGCTGGCACTGCTGTCGTGCCATGCCCGAGAAGCAGCTCCCTCTGTGAGCCTCTCCAGGGAGCTGGCAAGAAGAGAGCAGCTGCAGCCTCTTCAATAAAAACTCACTTTTGCAGATGGATGATGATCAGGTGTTTGTCTTTAAAGAACAGGGGGAAAAAAAAAAGGAAAATGCAATAGCCGAACAGACCTCTCCGGGAGCAGCAGCAACTTCCATCTCCCAATTATTCAGCTGTTCTCGCTCAACTAATGATCATCACTCAGGCCGAGAACCCAAGCATCTAGGCTGCATTCTCACTGCAGCAGGGCCGGGCCAATCACCTCTGCCGACACTACCGTGTTCATTATTCCAAGCCGCAGCATCCCTCCAATCACAGGCGCACACAGCCTGCAGGCAGCCGGCGATTCTGCAAGGAGGTGTGGACCTCGACCTGCAGATAAGCTTCCATCTCTCACATTCTGCTTCGGGGCTGCCAGGCACAGCCCGACTTCCTACTTTCCACAAGGGCAGCTTCCTGGGTTCCACTCAACATCAAGTTTAACCAGATCCAGAGTCTTTGTTTGACAACACTCACAGGACATCTGCCGACACTTTTCCTTGTTCCAGCATTCAATTTTCTCTAACCATGTGTAACCATGCATACTGTATCACAGTTCCTTCTTTTCTGTGACTTCCTCGGTGACTGAGTTTCTCAGGGTGGGGACTTAAGCACAGTTAAGTCTATAGACTAATTGAGTAAAATCATGAATAAAAAGAGAATCCAGTCATCTGTTCTTAGTTCACTAGGAAATGGATGCAGTGACCACCTGGTGTGACACACATTTCTTATAAAAGTGACTCTGATGAAGTATTCTTAGGGAGCTCTGTTGGCCTAGTGGCAAGAACCTGTGCTGCTATCTTGAAGGTGATCCTCTGGAGAAAGAAGGGCAATTTCCTCCTGTGCTAGTCAGATCTGATTTGATGGTACACAAGAAAGGGAGGGGGAAAAGAATGGGTGGTGGATAAGATATTTTTTCCACTGTTATTTCAAAAGCCCAAGCAAGAAAAATGTTTAAAAACTTACAGAGAAATATATACTCTCATAGAATGCTTTAAGAGTGTAAATCAGTACCACTTCTGGAAAGCAATCTGGTAATCAATATTTCAAAAGCAAGTGTGTCTTCTCCACAAATAACCCAGTCATAAAATGGGTACAGGATATGAACAGACACTTCACCAAAGACATTCAGATGGTGAACAAACACATAAAGAAATGTTCAAAATCCCTAGTCCTAAGAGAAACGCAAAGCAAAACAACTCTGAGATATCATCTCACCCCAGTAACAATAGCAAAGTTCAACAGAGCAGCAAACAATAAATGCTGGTGAGGTTATGAAGAAATTGGAATCCTTATTCACTGTTGGTGGGAGTGTAAAATGATGCAACCACTATGGAAGGCAGTATGGTGCTTTCTCAAAAAGTTGGAAATTTACAAGATAGTTTTCTATCTGTTTTCAAATATTTGTCTGCTATAGTCCTTTTGTTGTACATGCTGAAATTTTTATATTCCGCTTAGTATTTTTATAGTCTAGGAAAAGTATTTTCTAGGACGAGTTTTAGATGTGCTCTTGTTCATACAGAAAGATTGTATTTTCTGCACCTGTTTGGGGGTCAGAAGGGGGAGCAGGTACTTCCTTCCCCATAACACTAGTTACAGCTTTTTTCTCTTTGTCAGACTGCAGGATCGGATCAATTTTTAAACCAATTTGAATTTCAAACTGTAAATTCTGATTTTTTTAAAAAAGAGTAAGTTTCTGGAAGTGCTTTGTTAGTAGATAGTTAAATAATCAATAATCTTTCTAAAGTATTTTATATATTGGAAGCAATTATAACCCAATCTGTGATTTCAGAACGCATGATGCTAGTTCTCAGTGAAGATATGTAACTGCAGGTGAAGTCCCCTGTGTCAGCATTCCAGCCCATTCTCTCTGTTTTGTTCAGTGTTGTACTTGAAGACGTCTGTTTCTATCAATAAATTTTGAATAATAAAAAAAAGTTGGAAATAAAAATAACATTTGACCCAACAATTACAGTACTGAGAATATACCCTAAATAAATCAGAACTGCCACCCAAACAGATTTGCACATCCATGTTTATTGCTGCATTGTTCACAACAGCAAAGAGATGGAAGCAATCCAAATGCCTATCAACAAATGAATGGCTAGAGAAGCTGTGATATATTCACATAATTGGAATACTATGCAGTACTGAAAAACAAGGAACTCATAAAATACTATACAAAATGGATGACTCTGGAGGACATTATGCTGAATGAAGTATCCCAGTCACAAAAGGACAAATACTGCATAATGCCACTGTTATAAAACAGGACTGACATGGGGGTTGAGGGAAAACTAAGAAAAGAGGAGACAAATAATGAACATGGCATTGAAACAGATAAGGGAAAGAACTATCTAAAAGAAATTTATGATTAGGTATTATCTGCATGACAACATTCCAGAATGAGAGGTACACAGCAAAATGGACTAGGGGTGGAAGGATGGAGGGAATCATGCAATAATGAAATATTTTTTTAAAGTGTTAATAGTTTATTAGTAAATTATTATTAATAATTTATTTTAATAAGTGCTAAATGATCTTTTCAATATAAACATTTCCTATGAGCTTCAAAAACAAATACAGAATTTAATTTTAGCTATCTACATTTACATTTGGAAGCAGGAGTGGCATCCACTTCCTAAACAACATGTATCTAGAAACACTATGAATTTTGATCAATGACAGTAGTTATAGAAAGGCTTCAGACCTTTTGTTCATAGGGTCACTATAAATCGTGCTCAACTTGATGGCAATCAACAATACAACAACACACTTACATGTCTGATGGACTTCTCAAATGTAATATAGTGAATCCAGGTTTTTTTTGAGGCTCAACTATGTCATTTATTGTTCTTAAGTCCTGGACCAAATTTCATCTACCACTGGGCTGTTTTAGAGCTCGGAAGTCCGTATGCAAGGCAGAGGTGAAGTAAGGAACTGCTTATGAGGTTTTCTGTCAATTCCAACAACTAAGAAATAGTGAGAAGAGTTGGGACCTCAGAAGGCTTTTAGGACCAAATAAGAGGCTCTTGTGTCCAGGAGAAAATGAATATACTTACCAGTAATGTTAATGCTCACTCATGGCTCTTCTGGGAGAATCTGAATAGTTGAAGGGTCCTCCTTTGTTTCCAGCTGGGAGCTGGGGCCTGTCAGTCACGAGGACCTGATGTGGGCCACTCCTGGCCATGTGTCTTTCAGATCCACACTTAAAGCAAGTGAATGGGAGCTTCCTCTGTACTCCCTTGCCTATCTGTGGCTCTCATCTGTGACACTGTCAACTGAAGTGGCCCAGCTTTCCACAGTGGAAGCAATTCTGACCTCCTTTATTACCTTTGGGTGGCATTGTTTATGAGTAAGACTTGCTTTTCCTGACACAGGCCCTAAATTGGCAGCAATAGCTGCCCCAATAATTTTGGTCTTTTCTCTTCCCTCTAGATCCCAGTTGTTAAAAGAGGGAAAATTTAAACAAATAATTTTGAACAATATAACATTTTAAGTTTAAGGCTAGAAATATTAACAATATGATCATTTCCAATTCAGAGATACATCTTCCAGTGCAGTTCCTATTTTCCATAAATGGTTTTGGTAAGAAGAATATTGTAAATATGGATACAGTTCAACTATTCCTCCTCCATGCCATGATATAGTCTTATTAGCATGAGCAGTTATAAATCCATTGCCTTCCTTACTCTAACTTAAATTTTTTTAATTTATAAATTTATTATTAATTTCAGTAAAAATTTATAGAGACTTTGGATTTCCATTCATTCATTGTTGTACTTTTCTCCCCTCCCAACCACCCCCCTCAGAACACTACCCTCTTGGAAAAGTAAAAGAAAAATTCTTTCATTGTTTTACAAACTCTCCCCCAGGTCCACTCCACTATGTAGCCTTCGCTCTAGACTCCCGTCCTGACAAAAATACCTAATCACATATCCCTTTTAAACAGTTTTCTCCCTCATCTGTTTCAGTGCAGTATACATTACTGAACCCATCTTTCTCAGTCTCTCCCCAACCCCAAGGTCAGTCCTGTTTTACAACAGTGGCACCATGCAGTATTTGTCCTTTTTGTAACTGGGATACTTCATTCAGCATAATGTCCCCCAGAGTCACCCATTTTGAATAACATTGCATGAGTTCCTCACTTTTCAATGCAAATTAGTATTCCATTGTGTGAATATACCACAGCTTCTCTATTCATTCATTTGTTGATGGGCACTTATGTTGTTTCCATCTCCTTGCTATTGTGAACAAAGCCACGATAAACAGGGGTGTGCATGAAAGAATCTACTTAAAGAGAAAAGTGAACCTGGGGAGGGGTAGGGAGGAAAATGAGCAACAATGAATGAATGGAAGTCCAAGTTTTCCGTAAACTTTCATTAAAATCTCAATAAGAGAGAAAAAAATAAAGCAAGTGTGTACAATCAAACATTTGGTTCCTTGGTTTGGAAGCTCAGGGTCATAGTTTCATTGGGCATCCCAGTTAATTGGTCGCATATAGATTTTAAGTGATTCTGTTTCACCTCCTAATTTGTTCAGTAGTGCCCAAGATTTTAAAAGCCTGCAAGCAGCCATCTAAGACTCATCAATTGGTTTCTATTCATCTGTAACAACAGAATGAGAGTCAGAAATAGGAGGAACACATGGGAAGTATGACTAATTGCCTCCTTCATGATGAGACAAAAAGAACCGGATGGTACGTAGTTATCAATATTGAACATTTTGGTAAAATATTTCATAGAAGAATATTGATCAGAAGGGGGGAAATAGAGAACAGAATTTAAAGTTCCCATGGACTCAAGGCTTTTTGGTAGCATGGAGGGTGAAATGAAACGACCTAAAATAATCTTGACGTTTTAAACCAAAAATATCCTCTGAAGTCTTTTTAAAACTAAAAAATAGTTTATTGTTGTTGTGCATACCATCAAGTCAGAACCAACCCATAGCTGACCCTCCAGTGAGTTTTTAGAGGCAGTAAATCAAAGTGGAGAAGAATGCCCATCTTTTTCATGCAGAGAAACTGGTGGATTAAAACTATGTAAAATTAAGTTGGCAGCAAAATTCCTTACCACTAAGCCACTAGAGCTCTTTTATGTTAATGAGGAAGGAATAATTCAGAAAATGAGGGTAAGGATGGTTCT